CTTAATATGAATATATCAAAGGTGAAGCTTACAAATTGTTTTTAATCAATCAAATCCCAAGAAAAACAAAGACTCAATATAAACACATTGATATATTTACGTATATATACACATGCCAAGTAGCACATGCCTATACAAATTACTATGAATAACTCCATAATACATTTTGATATATTCACAATTCTATTAATTTATTTTTTGAGGTAACCATTGGTTTATAACATTATGAAAGTTTCAGGTGTGCAACACTATAAACTGACATCTGCATGAACCAGATCATGCTGCTACCAAGTCTAGTTTCCATCTGTCACCATACAATTGACCCCCTTTACTCATTTCACCTTCCCTCCACCCGCTTCCCCTCTGGTAACCACCAATCTGTTGTATGCCTCTATAAATTAGTTTTTGTTTTGTTTTCTTTCTTCTTTGTTTTGTTTTCATTTTTCTTTAATTTAAAATGCAAAATCTAAAAAGAAGGAAACAAATTAAAGTCATATGTAAGCCTTTTAATGTTTTTACAATAACACTTAAACTCCCACTCTCTAAGGCAAAGAGCAGAAGGCAGAAAGGCCTGAAGTTAATCAAAACACGAACTATGTTGAGTCATGATTACAAATACAGGCAGGCATCTACTCAAAAACCATGTAGTACAATAGGCCAAAAGCAAGGCTCTGTTAATCAAATGGTTAAAATCACAGTGGAATCTGCTGTTATAATGAAACCTGGGTACAGAATGATTCACAGATCACAAGAAAAAAAATCCCCAAGTCAGCTATACTTACACTGGTAAAAAAAGAAAAAAGAAAGAAAGAAAGAAAGAAAGAAAACAAAACCCTCCCCAAGGCTTCAGCTGCCATAGTCCTTCCCTACTCTGGGGGTCAGAAAGGTCTTTTTCAGAAACTACAGAAAAGCTCAACTCATTCAAGGAGCTGGACTTACCCTGAGGCCAGCAGGCAAGCACTGCGGTCTCTGGGAAAATCCACACAGCAAGAACTCCCAGATCTGAACTTAAAGAGAAACTAAAAGCTCCCCCAAGGAAGCTGAATACGGATTTTAGGAGAGCATCTGCTGCAAACTCCACCGGGGAAAGCCAAGGTCTGCCTGGGTTCTTCCAACTAACCAGAGTGTGCATTTCATTACAAATTGGGAAGCAGCCACGCTACCACATGACAAACCAAAAATCAAAAACCCAACCAGAAAGCACTAAAAACCCCAAATCTTGACACAACTATTTGCTTTTTCAAACACCTCTACAGTTTGTTTGTAAAAATTTAGTCTCAAACAATGTCATGTTATCCTCACTTTCTAAAGATAAGAACATTTATACTCAGAAAGGCTCCTTGGCCTGGCAAAATGGCAGATCTCAAGCTCTAACCAAATCTCCAATCTCACTCCGTAGAACAAGCAGTTTGGGAACCTTTCCCAAATCTCAGACGTCGGAAAAGCCCAAGGGCTACCAAATCAACATGATGTGTGGGGTGGGAATACACTCTTGTTTCAACTGAGTGCTATGGTCTCATCTTATTAACATACAAATGATATTTCAATCCAAATGCCAGCATGAGAAAAACTAGAACTTTCTTATGATTCAGCATTTACGTTTGCTATCAAAAGGAGGTCACGGGCAATTTAGCCTCCTTTTGCAGCTTGGTTGTTGAGAAGAGGTGATAAGGAAATAATGGGCCTTTATGTAAAAGTTTCAAAGTCCTGGGAACTGGCTGGAATAAAAAACTTCAAGGGGTTTTAGAAATGTACAGAAAGTGATAGGTGCTGAGCACTGAAGCTCGGCTGTCAATAGGTCAGTAGTGGTCAGGGAAGCTGAGGGGCAAGAGGTCAGAGAGGGCGGCAGGAGTTGCAACCAACTCGGTGAAAGAGCCTCTAAAATCAAATACAAAAAGGAAACAGATCCTCACAAGTGTAACAGCATTACTGTGCACTGATGCCCAAGTGAACGCAGTCACAAATGTTATGCCATGCCCAACCACTTTTCCTACATGCAGTTTCACAGACAACCTGCCTCACTCTCCCCTATCTTCCTCTTGAAGTTCTCTCTCCATGTGGATGTTCTGTGATCATACAAAACTGTAACATTTCTAATGAATGAAAACATATTAAACAGCAAAGAAACAACCCATAAAACAGGGGAAAATGTACATCAAAAAGTATCCTGGGCCCTGACTGGTTTGGCTCAGTGGATAGAGCGTCAGCCTGCAGACTGAAGGGTCCCAGGTTCGATTCCGGTCAAGGGCATGTGCCATGTTGCGGGAACATTCCCAGTGGGGGGTGTGCAGGAGGCAGCTGATCGATGTTTCGCTCTCATCGATGTTTCTAGCTCTCTATCCCTCTCCCTTCCTCTCTATAAAAAATCAATAAAATATTTTTTTTTTAAAAAAGTGTCCTGAATATACAAAGACCGATGCAGATCAATAAAAACCCAAATATCCCATTAGTGAAATGGACCAAAAACACAAACAGAAAAAAATGCAAACGAGCAGTATACATAAAATCCAACAGATACAAATAACAATGGGGGGGGGGTTCATCCATCCAAAAATGGTTATTAAAATCCATGCTGAGGAGTGTGAAGAAAGGAACACTCCGTGCTGGGCCAGTGCTAGCATAAAGAGGTTGAACCCTTTCTGGAGAAGGGGTTGGCCAGGTGCACCAAAGCCTGAAAAACTGCAGGCCTTGTGACCAGCGATCGCTCTTCGAGGACTTTAGCCTAATGAAGATAATCAGTTCTCAGTTCTGAAACGTGATCCATTCAGAACAGAAAGTGCCCGTTCAAATGTTCACAGTCTCCACAATTACAAGGACAGAAGTCCTATCATGAGAAGGAATCAGATCATGAGTACACAAGGTGTGGGCAAAGTGCTTCCTTGCTCAGGTCTTTTCTTGTTTTACAAATTTAAATTTCAGCTCAAGTGTCAAAACGATAAGCATGAGACCTTTGAAAAGTAAGTTAAATGGCTCTATTGCTTCCGTGGTTGTTTTATACTGAATTTAAGTCCTCTACTTAAAAACTTCATGTTTTATGCACACGTGTGTGTGTCAGTCAAGTTGAACCCAACATCAAAGAGGATCCAACTGTGGCATCGGGCCACATCTGCCTTCGCTGAAGGAGAGGCAGCTGTCTCAGGAGCTCAGTGTCGTCCTCAAACCTAGACTGCAGACTGCTAGGTGTCACACCGGGTCTTAGGAAGCTCTCAATAAAGGGCAATGACAGGACCATCATCGTTCCTATCACTGGGAATGGTCACTTCTCCTTTCTTTTGATTCTATGGGTTTTGAAGCACCAACGCACCTACCACCCAGGAAGCTAACCTTTCTGGCTTCTGTACTGCAAAACCTCACCTGGACGTATAAAACTGAAGGCCTAACAGAGTCAGACCACACCACTACAGGGCTAACGTTACGGCAGTGTATACGTAAGTGCTGCCAGATAAGAAGAGATCTGAGGAGCTGGAAACCAGTGGAAAGAATTCTTGGAGCTGCCTCGTGTTAGGCGTGCACGTTCTTGCCTTTACCACTGGAAGACGCTTCCTATTCTCGATGCCAGGCTCTCTCCATGGCTTCTGGCACATTGTGTGTGTTCATTAACAACCGTCACCAACCATCCCAGGCTCAGTCTCTCAGGTTACAAACTGCACCTGCTGCCAATCAAAAATAGCCAGAACTTGCTTCTGTACATTCCCCAGTTTGTTTCCATTTCTCTCCAGACATTGAGTTTTGTCGGGCATAACAAGGAGAGTGTCACTTTAATAAGAAATTGTGTTATAACAGAGTTCTACTAAGAATCATACTGAAATAATCATTACATTCAGGACCGCTGATTTAGAAACCTAAAATAGATGGTGATTCAATTTCAGCATCAATGTCAAAAGATTCTCCAGAGTGCTTTAACTTGAAGAGACATGAGGTAAAGCATCAACAAACTTGGGCTTACCCTTAGGGCAAAATATACATTTTAAAATTTAGCAAATATCTCCCTTACTCATGAGCAATTTGATATCCTACTAACTTTTGTCTAAATTCATCCTCTTTATCAACTTTATAAAGTCATATGCCTTAAGGCTCTCTCTTTCTAATAAATTTCCAACGAAATGAAAAATAAAAATCCTGAACTATGATACTGATCTATAATTGCTATTATAGGGGTAACATGATTTGAGTTGCAATATATTTTGATGGGGTCCAGAATATGCCATTGTGGCCTAAAAACTATTTTGAGCTGAAGACATTTGAGTTCCCGAAATCTCCAAAAAGAAAGGCCTCTCAAAAGAACTCAATTGTCATAAATCCCCTCCCGAGAAGCAACCAGGGAAGACTGACTCTTATCACCAGAGATTAAGTCTCCACACCACACTGAACCGCACGTTGTCGCAAAACTGTCCTATCTCCTAGCTATTCTCTCAGAACCATTTGTCTTTCCAAGAAGTTATTTGTCTTCCTAAAGGTGTGCTTTCTCTCCCTCCCCTTCTATTATTAGGTCATTTGTTTTCCCATAAGTGCCCTTCTCCCCTCCCCTTCTCCTATGAAGATGGTATATATGCCACAAATTCTAACTCCTAGCCCCTATGAGTCACATATTTTTTCTGTGATTAAATCTGATTTTTCTCTCTGCAATCTATCTTTTGTCAGTTTAATTTGCAGGCCTCCAAATACTAAACCTAAGAGGGTAGAGAAAAAGTTTTTCTTCTCTGACAATTTAAATCTGTGAAATACACTGTATTATGAGTATATATGAGAACCATACTAACTTTCTTATTGATTACAGTCTAAACAATTACATGATTAACATTTAAAACTTCCTCTTTATGTCTTCCTCTTTCCTCACTTTTCTTTAAGCTTCCTCTTGATCTGTCTTGTTTCTAACTTTAATTCCTGCAACTGTTTTCAAATATTATCCTCATAAGTATAATTTAGCAGAAATAATTTGTTTCCCTTTCTACTTGATAAATCAGAACATATAATTATTAAGTAATACAAATGCTACTCACTTTTAGTCAGTTTATAAAAACCTCTCAAGTACAATCAAGCTAAAACATCATGTTGATTAAATAAAGCAAGTTGCTATTTCACCAATTACTGAAAACTGGAAGCATTCTGAAACACAGAATTAAAACACACATATCGTCACTTTGTACAAAACAATTACCCTCCCCCCCTCATGAGTTTGTTGCTTTAAAACTGATTTGATGATGATAAAAGCAAAATGACAAACCAAGATAATTAGTCCAACCTGGCATAGAGATATACTCTTTGTAGCAAAGTATGAAAAATAAACCACAGGGACAGCCCTACCCCGCGCCCCCCGAGAAAAGCCTTTCTGTGCCCCTGTGGCCCCAACCGCTCCCTTGGCATTTGGTTCTCTGAAGTTAACCTCAATTAGCTCACCTCCTATGGCTCGGAAGCACAGGGATGCCGGTGCCCACAATTAAGACACACTTCGCACCGGCAGCCTTGGGGGACACTGTCACCCTGCTGTGCAAAAACAGCACCATGTATGTGCCTCCTGCCTACTGCCTTACTGAAAACCACAATCAAGGGTCCACGGCAGGCTGGACTGCCAATTCTGGACTAGCTTGTCAACAATCTATATTTATTTCCTTTTGCAGATGCAACTGACCTTGTCCCTGCCGACATACCTCAGGGGTAGTTCTGCACTGGCTACAGAACATCCAGACTTGACTGCCTGGCTGGCTCCCTCCTTTTCCATCCTCACGTCCTACCTCGAACCAGCTACAAACTCCTGGCAGCAACCAGAACTCCAGGCTCTTGCCCACCTCCCTCTGATTGAAACATCCTTCCTCCGTTTGCAGAGCTAACTGCTTCTCTTCCTGCAAGACTTGGCTCAGCTGTCCCTCCGCCGGGAAACAAACTATTCTTCCCACTGGGCACCCATAGCACATTATCGTGTGCCGGGAGCCAGTCCATCCTTGCTGTTTCAAGGGACCTGGCGTATATGGCATACTGTTCTTAATATGTTTGCTCACCTTCTTGGCGCTATGTGTTTTAACCAAGGTCACTTCTCTGAGAAAGGTTGTTTCCCCAGTAAGGATTTTCCCCCTGAAGTTAGGAAGGGAACAAAACCCCTTAACTAAGTGCCAGGCGGGTAATTAATCACTTTAACTACGAACAATCATTTTTCTTTACTCCCTGGAATGGAGATAAGAAACGCCCTAACCTTTGGAATAGAGATTGATAGGATTAGAATCAACTGGAATAAATACAGATGCAACAAGACAACAGGACACAGAACTTAGGACACAGAACTTAGAAGACAGAACATAGAAGACAGAACCTAGAAGATAGAACCTACACAGAACCGAGAGCCAGAAGAACTTCGCTGGAGAGAACATG